TGATGACACACAATTTTTCAAAGGAGTTTTTATTGTTGGGATCGAACTTCGATTTCAAGGTTGGACCGTTTTTAAAAAAGTATGAACTTGTTGTTTAGCTGCAGTATAATTTTCGTTTTTAAAACTAATTAGGGGAAAGTAGCAGTGAATCTCGAGTCTTCAAAATGGTAAAAAAATCTTGCTAGGTTAATTTAAAAAATGCAATTTTGTTAGCTCCATCTGACGTAGTAGTAGTAAGGCTTTAGACTCTATATCTACAAAATTAAGTCTCGTTGCCAAAATTTACACTTGATTAGCATTGGTACTAATCTCATATTATGGAAAATTGATGTTTTACTTATTATCTCTATGTCTTATTTATTCATATATTCAAAGGTAATTATTCCATTGTAATTCCATCTCACGATAACGATACGATTTGCAATTCTCTTTCCTCTGAATCAAAAGAAGTTGAAAGATTGTTATTTTCTATAAAAGGTCCTAATATCACAAGCAATTCGAAGGCTGCATTCAGAAGCCGAAAATGTGCTTACTTGGCTAGGATCTGCTCCACCAGCGAGGATAAGCAAGATGGGTTCCTGATTGGAAGACTCGGCGAGTATGTCTGAGAGATCGAAAGGAGGTGGATTTATGGAAGGCAAGGCTGAAGTGTGAGATTATTAAGTCATTTGTAAGGCTACTGTATTGTAATTATGTATGACTTTTATCTAATTTACCAATTGTACGAGATAAAAAACCAAAACGATAAACTTGCCCAACGTCTTCAGGACAAAATTCTGCATGGCTGCGTAAAGGCGATCGGGTCGAACGGCTTGAATGAGCAGCACCTACAATACGTCTTACCATCTCATGCAAATGATATGGGATCAATAAACCTTTTGAAAGGGAGTGATTTTCGCCTCGATAGCGGAAGGAACTGCATTCTCGCAATCGACTGCTCGACTAAATTCGCTCCATGTGCCTTGATCGGAAAGTTGGAGGTTATTGTAGAGAGTGGGAAGGTGTGCCTGATATCATAAGAAATATGTTGGCAAAATATTTCAAATGCAAATCGCATCTAATTTACCTGAAGTTTTGATACGGCTGTATATCTACTTTCGTCTATCCAGGATATTCCACCACTGGCTGCTTGAGGCTCATCCA